TGTCACGTTAGATAAACCTCAAGGACACTTTCTGAAATTTCAGGTATCCAGTAAAGCAAACAAGCTGGTCAGCTGCCTTTGTTGATGACCAAGCACATGCTTTATAATGTATCATGGAGAAGTCTCTCAAAAGCCTCTTAATACAGTTATCTGCTATCAATTAGAAGAAACCACAATAAATTGAAGATCAGTTTCTATTTCCAAATGTCTAGAAACATATTCACTCATTTCTTCAGTACTTAAATACAGCCAAGCTTACATAAGAATTACTAATTGGTTGTAAAGGTCACACCTTTAGAATGTACGCACATTGGAGGTCCAAAACCTATTCGACTGTGGCATTACACTTAGACTGAGTGCTGCATTTGGATTAAATGATGTTCTACTGATTGGATGAGCTGCCCAGATATGCTGAAGTTTTAACTGAATGTATTGGAAGATGTTAATTCTAACAGATATACCCTTAGAAGTTGCAACGTCACTATCTGTTACTGCTTTTTAGTATTGTCCTTTACTGGTTTGCAGGAAGGAAAAAGAGGCATTTTGGAGCCCTTAACGTGAGACTGTATGTGAATAAATGTTTAAGGAGAGGTTTTTCTCTTCTCCAGTATGGATGAATGCCCTTTGAAAGCCAAAATGGAATTGATGTAATCTATTGATTGCCATTTAACTGCCTTTATAAACTAATCAGTGCAAAACATAAAATGTTTCTGAGCAGAATCAAGAAGCAACTATAAAAATATAGGAAGGCTCATTTGGTTCTTAGATGGACTGCAAGGATAAATACCCTGACACAGAGAGTCACCAATGACTGAGGAGAGTGAACAGTGACTGCTGTGAAAATGTTACCAAAAATATGCTTGATTGTTTTAACTGAGAGAGTAATGTCATGCCAACAGCATTCATCGTGCATGCTTGAAACAGCAATGTTATATCTGGCTGTAAGCTACAGATTTTTTCTTGCTGTGGCCAGTCTGGCACCTTTCACTGGCCAGCAGCAGCCATTAAGATCAATATATGATCAGTATCCTTGAGAAATATCTTAGTTTCACACCTCTATGAAGACAGAAAGCCACAGAAGCCTCTTTATGGGATCTTAGACTCACAAAATGGCTTGGGTTGAAAGGGACCTTAATGATCATCCAACCCCCACCATGGTTAGAGACACCTCAGAAGAGGAATAAGCATTACACCAAATCCAGAAGAACCCATGGCTCTTTGGGGCTCAGACTATCACTCCTATTGACGCTCCAGCAGTGGTGAGAGAAAAGCTTACTGGGAGAAGGACAGCCTCTAGGCAGCAGGTGTTCAGAAACCCACCGTGCTCTAAGAGTTATTTCAAGTTTCAGCTTATTAGGTAGCTGATAAAGGCTGTACAGTGAAGTATTTATGTGAACACACACACTTAACACAAGGCAAATTTTTTGTCCTTCTCACATCAGCTGAAGAAGGCTCTAGTTATGACAGTTTTGTGGCTGCATGGCTCTATTCAAATTAAGTTAATTACTCTGCAAAAAGATAATTCAGCTAAAATTATGTTGCGTGCCTTGAGAATGCCAAGAAGAGACAAGCACACTCAGGGCCCAGTCTGGCCCACCTGGATCCCACTGATGGCATCACATCCCACTCCATCGGCACTGCAGATCGTCTCCCTGCCTTCCCATCCCATTCCCCTGTGCCCAGTGGAGCCACTGACTCCTGACAGATTATCCAACCTCAGAGCCCTGCTTTCTTCAAGCACCAGGAGAGTCATGGCTCATCCTGAGACTGTTAACAGAACGACAAAGCATTCATACATTCACTAGGCTTTGTGGATTTTCACAAGAAACACTCATTACTTTGATTGCACAGAGAAGGGACTGCCATGTTATGTCAAACTAATAACTAAATGAAGAAAGACCTCCATACAATAACTCTTTTAGAATTAACAGTAAAGAGATATTCAAAGGAAGAGTTCTTTTTTTTCCCCTAAGAACAGTACAGTGGCTGTGAATGGCACCAGTATTTCCAATCAAGTTGTGCCACCTTTTGTGACAGATCTACTCAGCTCATTTTTGCCACACAGATAATAGCACCTCAGGCTGATAATTAAACAGAATACAAAATTTTACACACTGATTTCACCTTTAGGAAGATCAGTGTTAATCTTGTAGGATTTTAATACAAAAAGAAGCTGTTGTTAATACATCCACCACCACTGTTAAGTAAGAACTAGCAAGTTCTCATCTTCATATAGAGACATTACTTCTAAGTAAGGCAGAGTACAAAAACTTCATAAAATAGCTTTGTATTCACTGCTAGCTTTTTGCATCAGACTTATACACCCATGCATGTGTGTGTGCAGTCTTTTATCCATGATAGAGATATTCATGTTACACCATCTCAGTTTTTCCAGTCTTTACTTGCTATTGTCATTTGAGCATATTCAAAATCTTAAGTAAATTCAAGGGGCCATCAGTATCTAACTAGTCTACAGCAGCAAGGTTTTATTTCTCCCTTTTCCTTCACACTTGCACCTGACCAGTATGTGTGATAGGCAGTAATTAATCCTGCAGCACTGACCACTTTTCTACACAAAGAATTGTTGCCCTGAATGGCATCTGATTGGCACTGCTGAGAGAGAGCCAGGAGCTTCCTGCAAGGGCTGAGTATTTCATTCATCCTTGGAAAGGCCAGAAATAAAGAGCTTTTCAGGTCATAACATTTTCTGATACGGGGGAGGGGGGAGTCTAAGGTCATATTTAGACATTTTAATGACCCCCCTCTGAAGTTCAGCTTGTGGTTTGGCAAGTGAAGAAAGAAAGGATGATCTTAAATAAATGTACACCTTTCCCTGCCCTCTTCCCTTCCCAAATACTGCAAATGCAGCATTTCTGTGAACCATGTGAACGCATGATTGTGTGCTGGGGTACAAAAATTTCCCTCCATCCTGGATGATGCAGCCCCAGTTACACACGTGAGCAATGAAGAGGCAGCCACAGCAACTGCAGCCATCAGTGCACACAGAAACGGCAACACAAGCTTCCACACCCTGCTCATTCTGGCAAGTAAACACCACTGCTGGATGCCATTAACGGCTGCCAGCTGGGCAAACAGAACAAGTAGGTCAAGACAGTCACTTCTCCAAGTTTTCTTTGCTAAATATTGTGCACAACTGCATTATTGCTCATCACACTGATGCTCAGAAACTGGTGTTAAAATCTGTTTTTTTGCAAAAACAGAGCTCGAGTTTTCCATCTTGAGATGTTTCAGTTTGAGCAAAACTACCAGTTTTTGATAAGATGACTTTTGATATTGCACTCAGGCTTACCCTGATTGCACAAAGCAGCCTTCATCAGGACAGCTATTACAGATAGGGAGAAATAAATGACTGAGTACCGGGCCCCCGTGTATTGGGCATGTACAGCTTAGAAAATCTCTAATGGAGATATAAGAGAACTGCTTTAAAGCATGCAACTTACTCTAAAGAATTCTTTGGTTGAGCCTGAATCCAAAGTGCCATAGGCTATCTCGGTTTGTTTAGCCAGATCCTCTGCGCTCTCTATGGGAGACACCATCCTTTCCACCGTAAGGAAGGCAGCAAGATTAGCAGTGTAGGAAGAGATAATGATGAGAGTGAAGAACCACCAGACTCCTCCAACAATTCGCCCTGAGAGAGATCTATGGAAAAACACAGATCATCAAATTTCTTCAGATACATCCCTTGATTTATTTATTTGTTTTTGGTCTAGAACAGAAATTCACATGCACAATCCCGTTGTCCTGATCCTCCGGGCATCTGTGAAGAGATGTGCTGACAGCTAGCTCCTGAAGCCTTCCTTGGGAGAACAAATAGGCACGTACCTGCTCTTACCAAGCTACACACTTCTCAGCCTGTTATTGAAAACAAGGGCAAAGAAACCGGTTCCTTCGAGCCCAACCCATCTGGAGAACTGGGGAAGAATAAGTCCTCCTGACTTCCTCAGCCAGAAGACTTTCATCTTCTCTGCTAGGCCAGCCTTGCCCTCTGGCTGCATTCACCCACTGTGACACACCAGCAGTGCTGGCTCTTTGGATACTGACCAGCTTTGAGGAAGAAAATACCTTTTACTGTATTGACTCTTAATATGTAGGATGTGGTGAACTGCAAGAAGACGTGAGTAAGCATCCAAATGAATAAAATACAAGTGATCCAGTATCATTTTCTCATCATGACCTAGCAGGAATTAAAGACCGAATCTAAATATTTAAATGAGGAAAGAAGCTGGTTTGTTTTATGTTAATTAATATTTGCATGCCTAAAATCCACTGTTTCAAGACAAGCATATTCCAGCTCTGTAACGACCAGAGCAATGTAGGAGGAAGTAGAAAAATAATGTCTGCGGGCTTTTGTGTGTGTTTTTTCAAATAAAAATAACATAAAGACTCAAAAACCCCATATGTATTAATATACAATTATAAAATGCTTACTGGTCAGGAGATCTAGACTCTGTAAAGCAATTGAGCATCAAGCTCAAAAATAGGGCTGAAGAACACACTGGGAATTCACTGCTACGTACATTCTTCAAACACATCATATTGACCAGGAAACGTTTCAGGAGCTGACAGAGCTACTTCTTATGTTTCCCCTTTATTCTTTACTGACATCAAAGACGGAAGATTCAATCCCAATATATGAAATCCACAGAACCTGTGTGCTGCAGTTCTCAATTAGTGCGAAGGGAAGAAATAGAAAACAAGAAAACTCTTACCTGTTTGTTTGTTTCCTTCCAGCCCCTCAGAGCCACCCCCAGACAGTGGGTACAAGTTGTCCTACCAACAGATGGAGACAGGAAAAAAGAAAAAGTCTGGTGCCGGGCCCCCACCCTGCCCACTCGAGGGAGGTGAGCTGGTAAACTGCCTAGTCTTGGCCAGAGCCTGACACTGCCTGAACCATGAAAAAATCCCAATAAGTTAATAAGAAATAAAAGAAAAAAAAAAAAAAAAAAAAAAGAAAAAAAAAAGAAAAAAAATCCATCCAACATTAACACACCAAAGAAAAATATTTCCAACACAATAAAAACAGAGAGCGCAGTCTGGAATAGGATAGAGGAATGTGGAGAAACAAACTATGAGGCGAAAGAAAGTAGTTCTCCACTCCCTTCTTCCCAGGAACTGAACAGCAGTTCCTGCTGGAAGGGCAGGTTTGGGCTGGACCTGCGGGTTGCAGCCTGCTCTGTTGCTTGCCCATGGCAGGTCCATACCAATGTGCAAAGTTCAGGTGGTCACAAGGCTTCAGGAAGCCTAAGGAATGAAGCATCACCTCTTTGTCCATCAGGATCAATGACTTCTGAGGTGAGAACACTATGAGAAACGGCTGCTGCACTTCCTCAGGGCAGGACCATGCCTGATGGATCTCTGCCAAGCACAGGAGGCTTCCCAGTCTGTCCCAAGGGCTTCTGGAGGATGAAAGGCTTTCAGGTTCCAAGCTGGGGCTGTGCTGCAGCAGTGCTAACTAACACAAGGCTACTGAATGACTGCAAAGTAAATTCCAGAAATACAAATCCAGAATAATGCACTAAGATAAAGAATCTCTCTATCTCAGTATACATTCATGGAACGTAACAAGAGAGCAATCTTCTGCAATTTTAGAGATGGTAAAGGCCCTTTCTGGCCAGCTAGGGGCTTGCTTTGGCTGTTTCATAAAACTGGATACCTTACACAACAAACCAAACTCTCATATAAGCTAAAACTTAATTTGAGCCATCCACACAGCAGTGCCTGCTGATCTCATTGAGTAAGGCTTCCTTTGAGGCCAAGACAGAGACAGAGAGGAGACAGACATCCTTGGAATGAGATTTATCTCACTTGCTATAGCGTGGGATAGATCTGAAGGTGCCCATCTGTCTCTCATGAGCATGGAGGGCCTGAGACGCCTAACCAGAACACAGTATATTGCTTTCAGATGGCTCTACCAGGTGAAATTCATCCCTCTTTTGCTCACTCTTTCACTACATAATTTCCAGCTTCAAGATGAAAAAGACTTGAATTTTTCCTCCTTGCAGCAAGGTTGACAGTTTCAGAGCCAGACTAAGGAGATGAAGCATCCGCTTACACACAGCAAGACCAGGTTAATCTGGCAGCTCCAGGTTCCTGTGGCCCTCTTGCTTTACAGTAGGTCTTGAAAGAGGAAGATGAAGAATTGACAGGGTGTTTAGACAAATTTAATGGAACTATCAGTTAAAAAAAAATAGGCGTGTATGCATCCTCCCTGTGGTTTCCCTTAGGAAATGTCATACTTGCATCAGGAACTGCCCCTTCTGCTTGAAGCACAGATGCATTGCTGGGGTGAAGATGTGCAGGAAGGGAAGCATTTTCCAAACCACTGTACCCGCAGTCCCATGGAGCTGCATGTTCATACAGTGCATTATAACACAGATGAAGGTAAAAATATCTTGCCCTCAAGATGTTGCAACCTGCATAAAGCAAGCAGACAGATACAGGACAAAATACAGAGAACAACTGAGAGGCAGGGCAGGAGGGCATGGCTGGGTACCTTGAAGAAGACAGTTCCCCAAAGTCCTACATGCAAGACTGGTGAGGACCAGAACAGTTCTAGGAAGAGTTGAGGTCACTTGACAGAAAACTGGATGTCATTGCAGAGCTCTTTCTCCCACAGACTTCCAATGAGCACAGAAAGGAAGACAGAACAGTTGCTGCTAAGAAGCGCCTTGGGTGACCATTGCTGAAATTGGTGTCAAGCACAGGATGCAGCAAAAGGAAAACAAAACAAACTACAAAGCTGACTCTGAAGGAAAGACAGACAGACAGACAGACAAAGACTCAAAGAACAAGAGCATAGTTGAACATGGCCTGGCAGCCTCCTTTTCCGAGAGCACCCCAGTTCCCCCCAGTCCATCTGCTGATATGAAGACGTCTTATACCCACTGCAGGGGCTGGTGTGGAGGGATGAGGGAGAAAAAAGGGTTAGTACATAACCACCAGGCTGGCAATAAGAGAATACTTGTTTGCTTTGTACTGTGAACCATAGAAATGTTTTTCCGTTACTCAGATAACAATTACAGAAAAATCAATCACAGCTTTTAATACCAGCACCACTTTTTGTGATGAAGGTATACAGGTCCAAGTGTGCAGTGTTGTAATTTAAAAACAAGCAACTAATGTTTTATCCCAACGTGCCATTTTCCAAATTACTTCAATAAATCAATACATTGCACGACATCATTTTAAAGTGAATTAGACTGTTAACAAATGAGAGGAGTAACAAAGCCTTGATATAACAGAATTATGACACAATTACCAAAACAAGGTCAGATGGAAGTAAACAGGAAGAGTGCATACCTTGAGAGGAAATTTAAAAGGAAGCATGGAGTCAAATGAGAACAAATTAGTAACAAGAAAAGAAAGAAAAACAAATATTCAAATTCACATTCAGTTTTCAAGAGAAAAATGCATTCAAACAGAATCTCATTCATTTATCAAAATAGCTTGAATTCTGTTTCTATTCATGGCCAGAAAACATTCTTGATTTCCTATAACAAACAGAAAAAAGCTTTTCACACTAATTAATTTTTAATAGGGCTCTTATGATCGATACAAGATGGGTGTTATATTGACAAAAAGCTCTGACCAACCTCAGTGCAAAATCTACTGTCTGAGACCCCTTTTCATTCTGAGCACACAGTGCTCTGTATGCTAGGAGCTCAGTGCTTTGCTCACCAGCCCAGCAAGCACTCTGCCTACCCTGCTGGCTCCACTTGGCCAGGAGGCACCCGCCTGAGACAGAACACAGTAAATACCAGCATCTAAAGCTCTGCCTTGAGATGCTCTATTCTCTCATCATAGGAACTGGCAGGGGAGTTTCAGAAGCACCTAGTTACCCAACTCTTGTTGTCGTTCCAAAACTCCCACTCAGTCATTCCCATGGTCTTTAATAGGAGTCTCTTGAGCCTTCTGCTACAAAAATAGGGATCTAGAAATATACCCTCTTAAATGACCAACTTCTTGTGATAATTTTTAATGAAACCCCCTGTCTTTTCCTATCAGCAATTAATTAATCTATCCTCTTTGTTCTGCATGAATAAAGAGCAAAATGAAAATATATGGTCTCACACAGATTTCAAAGATACTTTTGCTCCGAACAGTGTTACAAATTCGACTGCTTTCTCCTGATTCCATTTGCTGTCCACATTTTACATTAAAGCAAATTTAATAATCTGCTTTTGAGCCATCAGAAGTGAATTTTCAATACTATAGCTCACTAAGCAGAAAACACAGCAGCCTTTGATAGCAGAACAAAAGCACTGGAACAAATGCTGCTTCCATCGCGGGATGAGCTAACCACCATCCTTTGGCTGCCTTCTGACTCAGTTGAGATGACTCCTATTAAATACAGAGAGGAGAGTACAGGGATATATCCTCTGGAATATCCACACAGCATACTCACCGAGGACAGATCTAACTAGTCATTAGATGTCACAGCTGTTCCGCACAAAGGCAGCTGAAAGAGCCTTTATCAGCAAGTACAAAAGTGATCTCTCCAGACTGCTTGTCGGCATCTCTCTACAAGTGCTGTGTGCTCTCGAATAAGAAATTTATTCAGACAAAACTCACAATGGAAGACTGAAGCCCTTTTTAATGGCAATAAAGTAGTATGAAACATTCATATAGTCAATGTACTGTGAATGGCATAACCTTACAAAGATCTGGATTCAGAATGGAATACTTGGGAATAGTTTCTTAAACGGAGAAGAAATTTGACATTAAATAAACCTAAATCAACTTATCAGTCAAAGGAATGGTGTTTCTGGAATTGAAACCAAGGTATTCAATCTCCCTTTTTTTTTTTTTTTTTTTTTCAGTAACAGTGCACATAACTGCCTGGACCTTGTTACCATGAAAGATAACAAATTGCCAGACAATGTCTTCTAATGAGGACCACACAGTGGTACTGAGTTAAGAGCTTTTGATGGACAGATAAAATAAACAGGTTTACCGCTAACTCTTTTTCTGGTAGGTATTTCCAAGGCACTTATCATGTTAGTATTGAAAAAAATAGAGTATGTTCCACTTGTTATATAAAGTAAACGGCCGAACATGTCAAAGATCACATGAGAGCTTAACAAAAATCCTATGGACTTCAATTTGCAGTCAATAAACAGACCTAGTGGAAACAGTGCAATGCCTGCAGCTTTCCATGTGATGTCCCAGTGCTTATTTCCCGGTCTTTCATATTGGGCACACACATGGTCAACAGCAATTTAAATGCTAGCACTACTCATCACATTTAACTGCAGAAAGAAAGGCAAAGTTTCATTACAGAATTTGGGAATAAAGCAGAAACGCAGTGTATAAACACGAGGAGAAAGCTGACAGCTACAGCAAGGCAGCACACTGGAACACTGGGAGCTGTGAACAATAAATAGTGCAGGGTTCTGTCCAGGCAAAAAAGCCACGTGCGTGCCTTATATAGGATATATACGCATCTGTCAACTGCATGTGGAATCTAACTGCTGCTATCAAAGCTTTTAAAACACGTGAATGACTTGCATCAAATACTGACAGGCACATGCCAGTATCTCTGAAAATCCTGGATTTTGCTGCAATTAGGACATCTAAATGTGCAATAACCGTGATCTTAAAGAATCATTTTTACATTCTAACTGAAAATCTTGGTACTCTCCGTGAAACTTCCTTCCATGAGATTCTGTCACTTGCTGCAGTGAGACCATTCAAGAGGTCTCCCACTAATTAGCTTAGGAAAGCCTGGTAACTTGTGAGCACAAATGTGGAAATTACCAATGTGCATTCTGAAGACAAGCATTCAGTCAAAATACCTGTCTCTCTTGATTTGACTAGCAACTTTTTTATCCTGTTTATCCTGTTATCCTGCATCCTGTTTGTACTGCACAGGCATTTTAATAATTAAAATAGCTGTAAACTGGATTTAAAATTATTTTCATACAAAACAGAATTAATGTTCCATCACTAAGAAACTACATGTCGGTAATTCGACTGCTTATCAAAGGCATGTCACCAAAGTATTTTAGCAGTGTATGTGTAGAAGTGTAACGTATATACTATTCAAAATACATTTGAGGTTTGCACTGTTCAATTAGAGAGAACTTCACTATTCTCTGGTGGTTTTCAAAGTGCTTTTTTGGAAAAGGAATACAATTCCACAATAGTTAGCAGCACTCTCTGTTAAACTGAAGCTAACATCAAGTGTACTTTACCAAAGCCTTACTCAGAAAGACTGTCTTCATGAATAAAAACAAAAGTATGGGAACTGGCAATGCTTATTGGACCAAACTGACTATGAGCATAGGGATGATGGACTAGATTTAAATGATGATACATACAGGACAGCACGTAATAGCTGATAGGTGCACGTGCAGATCTGAACGTATGAAACACTGTTGTAAACAAATACGTAATAAATGAAAGGATGGGTCAAGAAGAACAAAATTAGAGAAATAGGTAAAAAAGAAAGCCAAAAAAATAAAATAAATAAATCTAGCAGAAGCCATGACAGTGGAGGTGTTTTAAAGTGCTGTTGCATGTGACTTTTCAAAAAATAAATAATTCTTATTTTGCAAAGCATAATATGTTTTATGCAACAAGGAGATGACCGTAAAATGAGATATGCAGCAAAAACACGGTAGCCCTCCAAGCATTGCTGAAAACAGAAAACCCTATGCATTTTACAGCCTTAGCATGGTGTATATAAGTTTGGCAGAAATGCATAATCAGCATTATAAGGCAATGCCACTCACTCTGGAGGTGACTGTTAGCAAACATAGTGGCTTGATGATGATGCTCAGCATTGAATGAAATGTCAAAACAAAAAATTTAGAATTAAAAATAAATTTGAAAATGGAACATATATGCACCATGGCATCAGAAAATGACCATAAAATGCAAAAAGGTGATGGAGTGATGTGAAACAAACCTTGGAGAAATATCGCATCCTTGCTGCATAAAGGCACCCAGGGAAAACCAAAGGCTGTTAAATATTCCAAACTCATTGGGAGGATCGGGAGGATTCTGAGGGTCACGTGGTTCTTCACTGCCGTCTTCCAAGTGCCATTCATAAGGGCTGAATCTGCTGACTAGGAAAAGAACTACGCTGACGCCAATGTAAGCAAAGACTATACACATCCAAATTTCATAAGCCAAAGGATCCAGGAAAGAGAATACGCCCGGTTTAGATTTCTGAGGCTTCTTGATCATGATGGAGATTCCCAGGCTCATAAAAGGTTTGGAAAAGTCTATGACTTCTTCTCGCACCAACGTTATGGTGAGGGGGGCAACAGCTATATCTGCTCTCTGAAAAGGGAAAACAAGGCCAAGTTAGCTACAAAACAGTTGCAACATAATCACAATCTAGAATCTCAGGTTAATGAATCAGATGATGAATTACAAAACTGAGTAGGAAGCATTTTCTTTTCAACCTATTTGGCAATCACTGAATTTGATTAAGGAATATGTGATATCGACAGAAAATTATTAACAAGAAAAATTACAGTCAAATCTGTGCAAGGGCTTCAAGAGAGAAAGAGATCAGTACCAATGTGTATTTATGTTTCTGTTCATTTAAAATGGATGAATAAACTCTATTTCAACTGGACAATGAAACTGCAATTGAAGTTGTACTTCTCAGGATAATGCATATATTCCACATATAAAATGCAATTTGTAGTCTGGTTCAGTCACATAATGTTTAGCACATAAAAACATATTTAAATCATAGGAAAAAAAAATCACCAAAAAAACAAAAAAGAAACTATTGCGTTAAGGATTTCAAATTTATGTGGATTGTTTGATGGCTTTTTAATCTTTTTATTTAGGAAAAGTTGTTAATAAATTTTTAATTCCGGGAAGAGGAGTTAAAAATAATTCTTGGGTAAGTGTGAGAGCAAGTTCTTTCCTTCTTGCACAAGCGTGTCCCTGTATATCTGGTAGACATGGCAACATGGCAAGCACTTGCCTTTTGACTTCTATGTCATTTTCCAGTAACAACCTGTGTCTGTCCATCTGTCCTCAGGACTCTGGACAAATTATGTGTTTGTTATATTTGGATGCTTTCTTTTTCATTCTACCAGCAAGTTCTGTTGCCTTACTGATTATTCCAAATAAATCTAAGATAAGTAATTAGTCATGGAATTTCAGCTGGATTTGGGCACTATAATTCATATATTCCTCTGAAACTCCATTACAATAAAGGAAAGATGATGGAAGGATAGTGGGGTGATAGGAACCAGGCAGCCTTCCGTGGTCACTAAGAGCAGTAATACAGATCCGTGAATCTCTGAGAAGTAAATAGCCTAGATTATCTAGGGAAAAAGCAAAAGTGTAATGTCATTCTGTTACACAGAATCTCAAGTCTACAGATCTGCAATATAGACATTGTTCTGAGGATGGATCATAGGAAGCACAATCTTGTCTCATTGCACTGTCATTCACCAGGGCAATTTGCAATGAGATAATGTCTGGAACCAACACCCTTTCATTTCAGTCCTTATGTTTTTCCTGAATTCCAAGGGAAGGTAAGAATGTGAAGTGAAAATCAATCAATCAATCAATAAAAATTACTTGGTTACTTGATTAAAAATAGTATTCCATAATGGAATTTCAAAATATATATAATTGTGTCTGTATTTTTATACCAGATTCAAGTCACGCTGTTTAGACAACCTAGCCTTGATTTGGCAAAGTACTCATGCAGGTGTCAGAAATTGCAATGGAGGAGACTAGAATGTTTAAAAAAAAATTCTTCTGCTGCATTTTAAGAAGAAGCTTTACTGCAAGAGTCCACATACGTTATTCGTAATCTTCTGCCTACTTTTAACAATTCTGTAACTATTCATGATGTTGATTCTCTTAAAGATGGCCTTTTGTTGATAATTAAGAATTTCAGAAGGAAAAAGTGACTCTTAGGGAAAGCTTAAGTTACCAGTAACTAAATCACTGTGCACCTTTTTAAATCAGACTTTTGTTTCCAACTAGTGAGTGTGTATGTCTTTCTGACAGAAAAATAAATCCTAATTAAGTAGAAGTTTGAATACAAATTAATTGTAAATGTTAATAAGAAGTGATTAAAATCTGTACCATAAAATAATTTAAAATAGCTTTATGTAAATCTGATGTTGATATTCTCGACTTTCACCAAGATCTGTTTTCCCGATCTACTAAGTTCAGTTTTATTGTTTTGTTTAGTTTTCTTTGTGGTGGTGGGTTTTAATTTAATTTAATTTAATTTAATTTAATTTGAAGTTTAATAAGCAGAAATGGCCTTTTATAAAGGCAATCTCCGCCTCTCTGCCCCATACCTGCCCTCAACCCTGGTTCCCAAGGCACCCCTGGGTGCTGCACAGCTGAGGCCAATGGCAGCCCTGCTGGACTCGCCTCTATTCCCCATGAGCACACACACAACCTCCAGGCTTCCTCCAGTCCCTCAGGAAGGCCTCCTAACCATCTGCACCTGCATTTGCAGCTATGAGGGATGTGTACAAACTCATGGCTTGGAATAATCAAATAAGCCACGTCCACACATATAAGGAAGCCATTTGGAAACCATGGCCCATGGTGTACTTTGCTATAGCCCTCCTCAGCTCCTTTAGACATTCATGCGTACCAGGACATTGCCCTTCCCCTTGAGTGACTGCTTTCCTTGAGGAGAAAACTCTCACCCAATCTGTGGTTGCTTGCTGCAAAAATCTTTGTTACCGTGGCATGCATCTAGAAGTGCCAGTTGCTTTTGGATGCTGAGTGTTTACTAGCTTTGCAGATGAATGAGTTAATAACCGAAGTAATAGAGACCTGAGGGAACACGGGTAGAGTGTAGGGAAGGGACTGGATGATTCTGCAGCTTGCTCGCTGATGAATTCTCCCCAAACACATATTTGTCTTTTAGCTACTGCTTACTGAACTGCTGCTCAACACTAAACGTCTGCGGTCAGTATAAGATACGCACAGGACATCTGTTTTAAATGCCGTCACTGTCCACTGCTGGCTGGAAGACTAAGCACTTTGACCACGACTACTGTATTTCAAATTGAACTAATGAAGTAATTACAAATTAATCCTTATTAGAGTAAGCTGAGTGGATGAGGACCTCTGCAGAGCCCCTAGCAATGACTGCTCGAGAAATGGAGCTGGAGTGGGAGGAAGCAGCCCTGCAGCCTGCGCGAGGCCATCAGCTGTGGGACAGCTCGTCAGGGGCTGGATCAGCCATAGGTGCCATTATTTGCTGTAGCATTTTCCTGGATTCAGAGAAATTGAATTCTCCCAAAGTAATATATTAATTGCTGAAGGAGACACAGTGGAGTTCTTTCTAAGTGCTGATGCAGCGTGCAATAACGTCTGCATCTCCCTCACGAACATCTGGGTTCATGCAGGATGCTCCTGTGGGGTCTTTGGGATTATGGAGCTGATGCTCTGTTTAGCACTGACAAATCAGTTTTTAAATGCCTGATTGCTACCATGTCCTCATTCGTATCACAAAGCACGAATTTCTTTGTAAATGATTTTAAATTACATTAATATTAGCAGAAAGATAAATACCTATTTTTCTAATACACTTCAGCCTTCCTGCTTTCCCACCGTTTTTGGTAGGCATTCAACATCTTGGGAACACCAATAAATAAACATCCTCTGGTCTTCAATGAATACAACAGCAATTGTCTTCATCAAAGGGAGCAGCATGGCTTCAGACATAGGATCTCAGGAAACCACCCACAACTCTGGCACTGACAGCAGCACCTGAGCCTGGTTCCCAACTATTAGTTACACCAGAGAAGTTAAAATAAGAGCACTTGCTGCCTATTTATCTAGATATATAATATTAGAAACAGAGAGCTTATGAAAAGCTCTAAGCACCCCCACAGATCATTAATAACTGCAGGATGGTTGTGAATCTCTCTTCTTATTATGGCTGCAGATAAGCAGAACCCATAAAAATTGAACTAGATTAAAAATAACACAACAGAACCGCAAACATGCCTTACCCTGTGCAGAGTTGGAGGGGGGGCAGTTAAGAACCTCAACAACTGAGCTTTGCTAATCACTCATGACTAATGGCGTTTCAAACATCATCCTCACTGCATTTAAGCTGGGAGAGAAATGTCATGGATTCCTCTGAGGCTTGTTCTGTCTCTGCCTACCAGTGTGGGAGGACGGATTTAGGGAGGACATGTAGCACGGAGTGCTGCCCACTCTGCTCAAAGCCGACCCCAGGGGGCTGCATATCTCAAAACTCTTAAGGGGAGGGAGAAAAATACTAAATGGATATATCCCTCCATGCAGAAAAAGAGAAGTGATAAGATGTTCCACCTCTGTAATCCGAAAGGTGGGGTGGAAATCTGCTTACAGCCTTGAAGATGAATTTCACTATCTTCAAAGACACGCACTAGAGGTAGGAAGAAATACTGGGCAGGCTTCTGCTGGTACATGTTTCTGGTTGCTCATGCCTGTAGAACTGAAGAATTCCTTCACTAGTGTGTGGCTTTTCAAGAAACTTGGTGCTGGCTGCACTCACTGTGCAGTCTGTGCTCACACCAAAACACTGTGCCTGGTGCTCACTGCCCAGTTTCCTTTGGGAGCCAAATCCCCAAGCACTCCAGAGGTGCCGACTGCTTCTGAGATGAGACTGTGCTGGGAAGACGGCTGACTGTGCAGCGTAAGACTGTCAGTGCAGGATGTCAGACAGAGCAACACCTCACCTGTGGTGCCTGATAGCTGCCTTGTCAGTGGAGCACGCTATCTCCCCAGGTATCAGGGTGTGCTGAAAGGCCAGACCAGGAGTGCACTGTGCTTCTAACACACTTGCTCACACTCATTTAGAAACAACAGCTGAGATCAGCGCAGCAACAAACTGCACTGAAGTTGCACTGCGTATTAGCCGAGCCATGAAAAAAACTCATTTTACGGTGTTGAAACTGCAGTTGGCCTTGGCTGCTGTAGTTTGTCGACATTAATTGCATTCCTTGTCCAAAACAGGCCTAATTTGGATGCACACTGTTCCTCCTGAGGTACTATCGCTGTCTTCTGCAAACGGAGAAGTGGAGGCAGGTCTGCTTTCAGCCTGTGCCTCCCCCTGGCGTGGTGCAGCGGGAGCTGGGAGCCATGCTGGATGGGCCTCGCCCTGATGAAGCCAGCAGGGACACTCTGAGGAGTGGGATCAGCCCTCCCCCAGCTGCTACCCCAAGGCTTTCCATGGCAGTCACGGTCTTGCTGCTGCTGTGAGAGGCAGAGCACTCGTGCTGTGGGCCCAGCTGGGCAGAGACAGGACTGGGCAGCCTTGCTACAAACGGCTTCTTGTGGCTGCG